AAATCCTACGTAGGATCCTATGAAATCCTACACAGGATCCCATAATATCTTATGAAGGATCTGATAGGATCCTACGGTAGGAAAGTGTAGGATAAATCCAAGACAAAGAAGTCTTACGTCTTTCCTAAAAGATCCTACGTGGATTTGGTAGGATCCTACGTAGGATCTTGTAGGATCCTACGGTAGGATTGTTTGACCTGGGTAGTAGTATGATGTTGAATTTTTCGCTGCTAGTCGAATGTTATTGATGTGGTGCCTACTGCTGATTCAACAAATGGATTTAATCAAGATGGATCCCATATAAGATACTGAAGTCCTTGTTGAAGACTTAGCCTTGATACATGATAAGCTTTTTTTCATCTGTTTGCTCGTCATTGAAGCCACCGACGTCCAAACGATATTATACGAATAAAAACAAGAAACGATATAGAGAATTGAATAATTGAGTTGCTGTTTTTCATTATCTTAGGTTAACATTGTCTCGTCGAATCAGCTGCATTTTACAAGAGTGTTAGTTAGTCCGTTGGTTTTCATCCTTTTCAATGGAATCGAAGAAATCGATTATTTGTCATGGTGTATAACAAATTTTTAGAATTATATAGATATTGCACGAATATTCCATGATAAGTTTATTGTTATATGTTAGAGAAGAATCATTGTGGAGTCATTCTATCGATCTTTTTTATATTACATGATATGATTCTATCGCTGTACATGAAATGAATAAATAAGAATCAACAATAAATCCTCATGAATATCTTGTTTTTTTCCGGTCTATAAACTAGAGAGATGTACATTTACTGTTACTCTGTAAAGTAGCTGTCTTGTATTTCTCGCAATGTTTATCGACTTTGCGTGTAAATCATTGATTTCTCCGAAGAATTCATTTTTGGTCCCATTGCGATACAAAGTATGAAATCACAGTGACATTTCTTAAAACACTAGATATCCTTATTCTTTCAAGCAACTATGAGTATCCAGTCCTACTCCTAAGACATTTGCATGTGTGAGATACTACAATACTCTTTCTATGGCAAGAAAAACCAGATCCTTCTTTTTTTTCTTAAATAACTGTTTGCAAGTCAGATGTTGATTGATTCTATTATAAGGTGAAGTACTTGCAACTTACGAGGGAACCTCCCGAGGTGATAAATTGCTTTTTGATTGACATCTAGTGGGTTATAGGTTATCGACCATGCTGAGTCCGAATATGACCATGGAGCTTGCGCATAGCCCTTCGAGGATCCGGTCTTCTGGAAAACCAGTTTTTTAGAAACCCCAAAAAATAACCGAAACTTTTCTTAACAATGCAGAATTGTAGCGCGCAAATTTCTGATTAAAATGAAGCATTCCCCACCTCTACACGATCTTTCTTTGCAAAGTTATAGAATTTATAAGAAAAGCCCTAAATTGTTCATTGTCAGCTCAAAGCTACAGAAATAATTAACTTAGGGCTCTTCTTATAAATTCCATAACTTTGCAAAGAAAGATCGTGTAGAGGTAGGAGATGTTTCATTTTAATCAGAAATTGGCGCGCTACAATTCTGCATTGTTAAGAAATGTTTCGGTTATTTTTTGGGGTTTCTGAAAAACTGGTTTTCCAGAAGACCGGATCCTCGAAGGGCTATGCGCAAGCCCCATGGTCATATTCGGACTCAGCATGGTCGATAATCTATAACCCACTAGATGTCAATCAAAAAGCGATTTATCACCTCGGGAGGTTCCCTCGTTAGTACTGGTCGATACAATGCCACATAACACATATGGCCTGTTTTTGTATGTCAATTAACTTTGTTTTTACTCTAAGCTCGTCAATATTGTTATTAACCACGACGTACTTGATTATCCCGTGCAAACATAATTTTTTGTGGTCTTTCAAAGTTTCTGAAACTTCTTCTAATAAGTCGCAAAAGAAAGAACACACAAGTACCGTTTTTCAAGTCGTTCTCTTTTTTCAGTAGTCACTGAAATGATCAAAGTATTCTACGCAAACGATTCGTGTTCTAGTTATAGGAATAAATCAAACGAAGCTACAACTATATACATGAAGTTAATGTTCGTGTTCAACAAAACTCAATAATATGTGCCAATAATTTCCCATATTAATATGAAACAATCAGTAATTAATATTGATTGAGACATAAAATGAAATGAAATAAAATTTATTTATACATACATATCCAAGAACACAAGTAGTACAATATTGATAGGATATCCTGTCCTTCACAAGAAAAATATTTGTTTTAGAAATAGAAATATATTAGTATCATGTTTTTTTCCAGTACACGAACAACATGGAAGAAAGAAAAACAAGAGAGAAAAGCAAAAAAGAGTGCACGAAATGATCGTCGTGATGAATATGTATCGGGATGGAAAGAACAAATGTTCTGTTTTTCTTTCTAATTTAATGACAATCACTGACTATTGTATGAGTGCACGAATAACTCGTTTCAAAACAGACTCATTATTAGATTCATCATTATCATCTGTTGATGCTACTGTTGAACTGACTACGTTAGCTGCTACTGTTGTTTTCTTTCGTCGACGTCTAGGACGTTTTGTTGTTACGTTTTCTTGAACTGGTGTTGCCACAGAAACAATATTTACTTTTGATACTTCATCTTTTACCGAAGGTGTTGATGTACCTCCACCTCCTTCAGTAGATGGAAGAGAAGGTGCAAGTGCTTTATATTTCGAATAAGCCCATGCTAAAGGAAAGAAAAAACGAATAATATAATTCATATCTGCATTCTTAAGTTTATCATCTTCAAAAAGACTAAACGACTACATGCGTACGATCGAACAACAATGAGACAAGACAACATTCGTTTTTACCTCCTACTACAACAGCAAAAATAGTACCCACTATTCCCATTATAATCATCATCTAATAATCCCCCGGCGGGAAAAGAAGAATTTATTTTGCCAAAGATAATTAGTAGAAAAAACACAATGTTTCTATATTTACCTTCATATTTTGCAACCAAAATTTTCGTTTTAATTTTCCCGCTTGTTGTTCAAATTGAGCTGCATTATGCTGTAATTTATCTTCGAAGAAATAAATGATTAAAAATCGAAAAATTAATTTTCTTTATTTCTCAATTATACCAGCTCGATCATCAAGACTTGCCAAGTTTTTGTCACGTTCTAATACCTTATCGACATTTTGTCTCATTATTTCCACAACTTCATCGACTTGCGCCTGTTGTTGAGCCAAACGTTTCGAACCACCAGGACCAGCAGCACCTGCTGCTGCAGCATTGGCAGCATTAGCTGTCCTATTTGATAAAAATGAAACTTTTAAACAATGAAAACTTTTCCTAATTAAATACTTACATATCACGAAATAAATTAATTTAGCAATGGAATAGTTTTCAAATCAACAAATTCTATAACAATATGTAATCCTGTGTCGATAGTCATTTTTACGTGTACAGACTGATATTTCGGTTGAAAGAATCACTGAACTAATCATATATAGAATTTTAAAGCTTCATAATTTCTAGTTATGTCTATATTAGTCTTATATATATTTTCATGAGCTATCGATTAATAAATAATTTTGAAAAAAATAACCTTGCACAAAAAAATGATCTGACATCGGAAAGTAGAAACCTTTGGGATTTGGTGTGTGATATAGATCGAACGAATGATTAATGTCATTATGCACAATGGATTGTGTTGCCCATATCGAACAGATCGAGATAGTGTAAACTTCCTTACGTGAAAAACTAAAATAATATGTGCGTTGGCCGTCAGGATTTATGCAATGCTTCGAAAGAGAACAAATCATTATTTAACAACATACACTGTATTGTGTGAAGAATTATTTTTTACGCATTCATTCTTTTCTTTTCCTATTACTCAAATGCCATGGGATATAAGCTGCTTTTGTCCATTCAGTAATATCCGGAAAAGAAAAATAATAATTTCTCATGTGGTTCAATCTCGTTCTTCTATTGCATGATCATTGGAATGACTGAAACATTTTACATCAAGAACAAAAAACACGATGTGCCTGACAAAGTCATTATTATATTAGAGAGGCTAATCTCTATCCATAAGATGATTTTATCAGGGGCTCTTGTAAAACACACGATCACCCACAAATCGAAAAGCAATACCCTCGGTAGATCGAGCTCGTCGAGTTGATTCTACGAACATCCCACGATTATCCAAAATGTTTAAAGCCGAGGGAGATTTCCCATGTATGAGAAAAAGGAAAATAAGAAATAGACTGAAAGAAAAGAGAGAGAAAAATATATAGTTAGAAATAAATTGTTGATCAGAGGCTATAAGTGTAGATTTAACATCTAACTACAGACGTTTATTTTTGAAATCAATGTAAAATTTTTTAAAATTTATTGCTACTGATGAAGACGTTCGTAAACGTCGAAACGTTTAGCTATCTAATTGTATAATAATTGTTGCCATGTTTTCACATCATTCATCTCTTGTTGTCAAAACAACTGGTTTTCCTGAACGTACTCGTTATTAACTTACAATTTTAGTATAGCTTGATCTTGAACTATTTTCATACCAGATAAGCAGTTGAAGGGCTCAAATAAATCCACACTAAATCATGCACATGTCTTTCGTTTGAAACTGCTTTTCGAACTCATTCTCACACTGCTCCAACCAACCCCACCACAAGCCAAGAGTCACTTCGCGGAATAGTCGTGCCACACGTCCGTTTTGATTTTCTTAACCGTCAAAAACAGCATGCCAACATGGACAAAAAAACGTGTCGATGCGGGCCTCTACATATATGAGCAAAAATAGAATTTCTTTCTTTCTGGATCGTTTTTTCCATGATGATTTCTTTA